TAGACCCAAGAGGAAAAGGATGTTAAAATGCAATTAGTTGATAAGCGCTGCTCTGCAGAGCCACAGTGGAGGTATCTCCAGGAGCCAACTTGAACTGGGACTGAGCAGTCCTAGCTTGTGCCGGCCCCAGAGCCACCCGTACTGCGGCTCTGCATTTTAAAATGCAGAGCCGCAGCAATCAGCATGAGCCGGGACTGCTCAGTCCTGGTTTGTGCTGAGTCGAGCAGCCCCTGTTCATGACGGACAGCCCTATCTACCGTGAACAGTAGCTTTTCCAGCACAAGCCCCTGTCTGTGCTGCTCATGGCCAGCCCTGGCCACCACGAACAGGGGTTGCTTGGTGGCAACAGCCCCAGCCCACTGGGACCCCTTCACAGCAGTGTCCCCTATTCCCCCCTCTGATACAGGAAGCAGGGGTGTCAGGTGGCACCCTAGAGATGGTGCAGGGGGGTACCGGCTTTTAAGCTGGCTCCTGTCCCCTCCTTTGCTGCTGCTCAGTGCCTCCTGTGCTCCCTATGGCACTTCTGCTTTTGAAATGTACAAGAGCCCTACAAGCCTGAACCAGACCCCACTCATGCCATTTCCCCTCTGTGCCTCTGCCTCCCTTGCTCTCTGCAGAGATGGTGCTGGGAGGAACTGGCTTAAAGCCAGTTCCCCCCAGTACCAGCTCCTGCTCCCCCTCCTCTTGCTGCCTCTCTCTGATAGAGGCAGTAAGGGTGGGAAGTGACTAGATGAGTTGCTACTCAACTATCTGAAAAGTATTTAGTTGTTTACATCCCTAGGAGGAATAGGAGGCTTCAGAACCTGAAGTTCTGTTTATTCATTTATCTGTCTATCCAAGGTTGGGGACTCTTGTGCATTTCAAAGCAGGCATCCACATGCAGCCCCGAGTCTGCGGGACTTACCACTGGCCCCAAGCTGTACACGGAGTTCCGCATTCCTCCTTTGAAATCTACAAGAGCCCCAATGTAGGCTCTTGTAGATTTCAAAGCAGCTTTGAAATCTACAAGAGCCCCAATGGAGGCTCTTGTAGATTTCAAAGCAAGAATGTGGAAGTGCCTATTGACTAGTCGACTAGTCAAAATTCCGTCGACTAGTCAGTTAATTGCATTTTAACATCCTTAGTTGTGTTGTCTTTCCTGAGTGCGGTTTCAGCCATGTGAACTAATGAAGGAACCATTTTAACATCCTTAGTTGTGTTGTCTTTCCTGAGTGTGGTTTCAGCCATGTGAACTAATGAAGGGTTTGCTAGTTTACATATTGCCCATATTTTCTAAAATAATACTAAACAGGACATAATTTAATGATGCACCTTAAATTAAAAACTAAAATAAAAGATACATTGCAAAATTAACATGACAGACAAACCCCTGGGTACAGTAATTTGATTATTTGAAATTAATCAGCTGATAATTTGAAAACTTGGGAATATTAATGAACACTGTTCCTCTCCTTAGAGTATAAAGCTAAGAGTTACAGTTAATAATAGCTTGTAGTTCACAAGCTCAGATATAGAACTTGAGTATTATATTAAGTATTCATCATATAGTTGCCTTCAACATTATTACCTTCAAGGCAAGGATTAATTTTATGAGGCAGAGCAGCTAGATCACCAAGTTCAATGGTTATACCCAGAGCAGGTCTTCATGATGATCTCCTAACATAGTTTCCTAGTAATTCTCCCCTCATGGAACAAACAATTTCACACATACAGAATGGAAAGTGATTATCTAGGAAGGAGTACTGCTGAAATGGATTTAGGGGTCATAGTGGACCACAAGTTAAACATGAGTCAACAGTGTGATACTGTTGCAAAAAAAGCAAACATGATTCTGGGATGCATTAACAGGAGTGCTGTGAGCAAGACACAAGAAGTCATTCTTCCACTCTATTTTGGTGAGCAAGACACAAGAAGTCATTCTTCCAATCTATTTTGTGTTGATTAGGCCTCAATTGGGGTATTGTGTCCAATTCTAGGCACCACATTTCAAGAAAGATGTGGAGAAATTGGAGAAGGTCCAGAAAAGAGCAACAAAAATGATTAAAGGTCTAGAAAATATGACCTGTGAATGAAGACTGAAAGAACTGGGTTTGTTTAGTTTAGAAAAGAAAAGACTGAGGGGGATGATAGCAGATTTCAAGTATCTAAAAGGGGGTTACAAGGAGGAGGGAGAAAAATTGTTCTTCTTGGCCTCTGATGATAAGACAAGAAGCAATGGGCTTAAATTGCAGCAAGGGAGGTTTAGATTTAGGAAAACCTTCCTAACTGTCAGGGTGGTTAAACACTGGAATAAATTGCTTAGGGAGGTTGTGGAATCTTCATTACTAGGGATATTTAAGAACAGGTTGGATAAAGAAACCCTTACTCAAGATCACTCCCCAGAACGCCCATGGAGCCCTTACTTTGTGACAAACCCTTACCCAAGATTGCTCCCCAGAACTCCAATGGAGCCATTACTTTGTGAGTACCTGCGGAGGCAATGCACCAAGTTCCGGGGCATGGGCTTTATAACTTTTGACTTCAGTGAAATCACACCAGTCTAAAAGCGATATAAGAAACTATAGAATCAGGAACTACATATTTATATACTAATGCATATATGAAAGTGATTCCATATGTAATGCTTATTCTAGTATACAAACTGGAGGTCTGCTCAACTGAATATGAGGCATCTTCCATGCTACAGTTATTAAAGACCTGGAGATTTTATTTTTGATTTGTAAATTAAGACTTAAAAATTAGATCTATATATGGCCAACAACAGACAACACTTACACACTATACAGTATATAAATGTTAGTTTTTAATGGTGACCACTGTGATGTTGTACATAATAATACTTTATATTACTGTTCTTGCTTAAAATCCAGATATTAATTTACGTTTTATTTTTATTATTTTTCATTTACCTACCTAAAGTTGTCTTCACTGTTGAACCATGTAACGACAAGAATGATTAAAGGCTTAGAGAACATGACCTATGAAGCCAGGCTTCATGAACTGGGCTTGTTTAGTTTGGAAAAAAGAAGATTAAGGGGGGACATGATAGCAGTTTTCAAATATCTAAAAGGGTGTCACAAGGA